GTTTAAGCCCACCAGAACTGTGGGTTTTTTTTTGCCATGGCAGCCCGAGTGAACAAAAACAATGAGTAAACAGTGAGCTACAAAAAGGTCAAACATTCTGGAAAGTGTCCTTCCTGCTCCAGCATCAGGCCATCCACAGTGATGAGAGGGCAAAGCTTCCTGGCTTGAGATGCCCAGATTGTGTAGCAGATCAGGCAGCCACTGAACAGAAAATCACGTTTATTTCATTCTCGGTAAAATGCTAGACACATAGATCTTGGTGGCCCCAGAGCAGGCGAGATTCAGGACCAAGGACATGGCTGGTCTGCACCACCTAAGGCTTGGAGATAAACAGAAAAATGGGGCCTTCCTGTCCCCGAGTCCCTCCACTTAGCACAGAGGAACTCACCCTGATGGAACCACTGAGAGGTCATGAGATGACACAGGGACTTATCCAGAACTGTCCAAGAAAGGTCTTGATTTCCCACAAATAACTAACTGCAGGAGTTGGCAAGCTTTATTTGTGAAGGGCCAGATAGTAAATATTCTGTGCTTTGCAGGTCATACCACCTCTCTGTTTCATATTCGTTTCATATTATTTTATAACCCTCCCAAAATGTTAAAACCATCCTTACCTTTCAGGTCACGAAAAGCAGGCCTGGCCCCACGGACTGTAGCTCACCCACCAGATTCAATCTCTCTCCTGGAACTGGTGACAATTTTGGGGACCTGATGAGAAATGAAACTATGGGGCCCTTGGTTCAGAGATTATTAAGAATTTCAAGACAGTGACAGCAGAGCATGAAAGCGAGCATTTTACACCCATGAAGCAGGTCCTTCTGTCGCCTGTCCTCACCAAATTATCAGGAATGTGGCACCGGCCTCGTGGGCATCTCTTGATGTCCCTAAGTAACTCAAAGAAGGACTACTGAAACTTGGCCACAATCTCAGGCCTATTGTCCACACCTCAGTTGGCGGTTATCTGGAGGATTTTGTTGGAGAAGGGCGGTCTCCCTGCGCTGGGCCATCACTCCTGGGGACGAGGGGCGGGGGGCACCTCCTGGGCCACTTGGGTCTCCTAGTGACAGGTGAGGTTCCCATGGGCATGAAGGCCTTGCCTCCCAAGGCTTCTCCCGGTGTGGATCCGGCCATGCTGGACCAGCGTGGACTTGTGCACGAAGGCCTTGCCGCAGGCTCCGCACTGGCAGGGCCTCTCTCTAGTCGCTGTAGGTCCTCTCCCGCAGGGTCAAGGCGGACGACTTGGGGAAGCGCCGCCTCCCAACTGGAGGCGAAAGAACACCCTCTGCCCTGTGGACGTCCTCTGGTGTGCTCACCGACCGCCCCGCCCCCCTTCCCGCGCGCTCCGCCTCCTACCCCATAACGCTCTGCACCAGGGCCTTGCCCTGCCCTGGCAGCTCCTGAGGCAGCTCGCCAGGGTGCGTGTGGTGGTGGTGGTGGACCAGGTCTCACTTCCTGTGGAACGTCTTCCCGCATACCCCGCATGGGGCCTGTCACCCGTGGGGGCCCGCTGGTGGCCGAGCAGCGACGAGCACTTGGTGAAGCTTCGCACTTGAAGGGTTTGTCCCTGTGGACGTGCGGCCGCTGTCGGCGCAGAGGAAGGGCAGCTCACCTGTGTGCACCGAGAGGCCGACGCGCTTGCTGAAGGCCTTCGCGTACTAGGCACACGCGAACCGCTTGTCCCAGTCATGCACGCTCTGGTGCTGCACCAGCTCAGCGGCCCGCGCGGAGGCCTCTCCGCACTCGTTGCCAGCTGTGGGCTCTCCTGGGGCTCTTCCCATCGGAACTGCGCGAGTCACACTTGTGAAGTTCTCTCTGTTCTGCAGTTCCTGGCTGGGGGGTCTTCAGGGACCCTTTCTAAATGTCTCCTGACCTCTCCGACCGCAGAGCGCCGGGAGCAGTCCCCTCCCAGTTCTTCCAGGGCCAGCCCAGGGGCACTCCTACAGGGACAGCTTCCGATGGGCCGTTCTGCTCGGGCCTGGACTCCGAATCTGAAAGAGACTAAAAACAGGACAGTCACCCGCGTCGCCTGGGGTGGCCTTAGGGACTCCTACACAGCCCTTAAACCCTGAGCCAAGTCAGTCTCAGTCCCATAACAGTGACGGTTATCATAATCACAGCTGACATTTCTTGAGCACCTACTATGTGCCACATGCCATGCCAGAGATGGGTGGCGGTCTTTCCTGGGTGACCCCCTGAAGCCAGCTCCCTGCCCTCCCTCCCCAACTTCTCCAGTCCCAGGCCTGGATAAACCAGGCATCTTTGTGGTGGCAGGAGTTGGTGACATTCAGAGACGTAGCAGTGGATCAGCCCTTTGAATCATCTCCATGTATCTATGAGATGGGCCCCTCATTGCCCATAACCATTCTACACTACTGCAAGCATTTGAGCATGCACTATGTGCCAGGTCTCTTGAGAAACTCTTGACTCACATATCATGTAATTTAACTACAGGAGGAGAGACTTAGGGATAATAAATTTGGGAAAGGCCACAGGACAGCGTCAGCACGATAGGGGTAGCATGTGGGTGTGATTTTGTCTCTACTTGGACCTGAGTTAGAAAATCCTGGAGCTCACGAGCTTGCCCAGAAGGAATGAACAGAGCAGAATTTCTGCCCTGAAGGCTGTGGCCACCTCCCTGGTGGCATCTGGAGGGTCCTAGGACTGGAGACTCTCACACTACCTCTTCCCATTAGCTGTTTTTTTTGTTTTGTTTTGTTTTTCATTACTCTTTTCTCTTTTCCCTTCCCCCACTTTTTGTTTTTAAATTTTTCTTTTTGGATATTAAATATGATCACATATTGTTTTGGACTGTTTTCTCGCTCCTTGAATCCGTGCTGTCCTTGTAGCTTGCGTTGACCAATAGAATATGGCAGAAGGGATGCTGTAGGATTTTGGATATTACAGCTTCTGATTCTGACACCAATTCTACCAAACAATTCTCTGACACCAGCTGGATGTTGGAGACACCATCTGCCTGGAGATAGCATCAGTTAGCAATAGGTAACAATATGCCTTTCCAGAATGACCTCTCAACGGGTACTGCCACCACCCATGTATAAGAACACTTGTCTTAATTACTTCCTGGTCTATCATGGGGAGTGGCTCTCAGCTTCTGAGTTTGGGGATCTTAACTACACTAAAGAGGCTCAAGGGAGGCAAGTGGGTGGGGACTGCTCATTGTTCCCCCAAACTTATCTCTTTTCACAGTGCTAGACCCTAAGTTTAGCTGCATTTCCCAGTTGCCCTTGCAGCCTAGTGTGGCCATGTGACTAGATTCTGACCAACAAGGCAAATGGTAGCTTCAGGCTATAGCTTTGAGGGTGGACTGCCACCCCCTTGTTAAGGAAACTTGGGAAAGTGACTTATTTTCGCTGCACCCCAGTTTCATCATCTGTGTAATGGGGACACGATAGTATCTACCTTACAGTGTCATTGTAAAGAACAGATGAAGTAATACCAGCAAGCATTTAAAACAGTCCCTGGCACATAGGAGGTTCTTTTCTGTGTCATCATTATAATAATTTTATTATCACTTTATAAGATTGATGTGAGGTTTAAGTGCAACCAGCCTTCATGCCTTTTCTCAAAACAAGTTTCCCTGGGGTTTGTTGGTCTCCAAAGACCAGGGAGAAATATTAGCAGGAAATTATATCCATCCGGCTCCCCACACACATACCTACCACCCACTGGCACCACCAGGAGGCTCTAGATTTTCCATCTCCTTCATCATTGATACTCATTTGCCCAATAAACACTTCCCAAGCCTGAAAATTCATAGGGGGGAATTTTCCTTTTGCCTTAGTTTCCTTAAAGAGCTGCCATGGTAGAGGAAATGCATATTTATAGGCAGTGACCTGCTTCCCGGAGAGGTTGAGAGATGGAAAGAAGTGGAGGAGAAGGGGAGGCATTTTTTCACTGCTGAATTCGATGTGGCATAGGGAAGTCAGTGTGACAGACGTGTGTGGAATTGGGGAGGAGGGAATTGGATCAAGAAGGAAACCGAGTCATTTATTTTCTTTCCCTGTAGTAGTGGGGGAGAGGCTGCCTGAAGAAATTAGAACGTGTATGCCTAATATCTGAACACCTAGAATTTCTGCATCGTCTGATAAGCAAGAATCTCAAATAACAGGAGGCTTCGGGGTGAACAGGGAGCCAGTCATTCATTCAACAAATATCTGAGCACCTCCTCTGTGCCGGGGCGTTGTCTCATGTGCTGGAAATCCAGCAGTAAGCGAAACAAAGCCCATTGTGCCGTGGAGCCCTCACAGTGAGGTAGAAAGTGAAAGGAGGGGTACTTCAGCTTCAGCGATTGCGGGGGCACCTCTCTAAGAAAGTGATGTTGGAGCAGAGCCCCCATTAGCAAAGAGAAGACAGCTGTGTGGGTATTGGGAGACGGACATTGTCCCCTCAATCCAGAGCTTGCTGGAGCCTTGCTTGGAAGAGGGAAAATGAGCAACACTCAAAGATGTGTCCTTAGAAGCTTGACCAAATAGATTGGGATTTGTCTGGGTAAGAAATGATGAGAAAAGGTTAACGATACTGATATGTGAGGGGCTCTGAGTTACAGCATTAAATGAAAAACAATTGGCAAGAGTGCATATTGTACACTCTCATTTGTGTTTTTAAAAAGTACATATACACATACATATTTATATAACTAATATATATAGTGTATATGTACACACATAGTAGTATAAGGAACACTACTAATTTTGTAGATTGTTAATCTATTGACATGCTTCTGTGAAAGCAGGTAAATGGCTGATGGTTGAGGGCCCCCCCACCCCTCGCCCCTACCCCTGCTGCCTTGTCCCATCCTGCATATCATCAAAAGGTTGCTAGCTGTAGGTGGTTAATACTGAGACTAGCTCCTACTTCTCTGCAGGTTGCTAATTTATTGTTTCTGTGGGAGAGACAGAGCAGAATGTACTTACTCTACCTGAAACTGGGACTCTCCCACTGCCTTTCAAAAAGCAATGACAAAACCCTTCAAGCCTACAGGACTATATAGTGAATAAGACAACTTGCTTCCCGTGGGAGTGCCACTTAGAACTATTTGATTTTTTTTAACTATGTGAGTACATGACTTTGATTTTAAAAAGAAGTTTTAAGCCACCATACATCTCATGTCAACATTGTATACAAATTCTTTTTATTTGTATGTTTTATCCTAATCTTTTAAAAAAATTACCCAATTTTCTACTTTATGTATTCATTATTTATTTAAGAGCTTATTTGATACAAAACTCAAAAGGGACAAAAGAATACATGACAAAAAACAAGGTGGTTCTCTTCTGGCAACCACATTCTGTTTCTTTTGAAGCCTCCGAGAAATGCTGTATGTTTTCTTTCTTTCTTTCTTTCTTTCTTTCTTTCTTTCTTTCTTTCTTTCTTTCTTTCTTTCTTTCTTTCTTTCTTTCTTTCTTTTGCATGGATAGTGCGACTCACAGTAATCAATATAGTAACAACCCTCTCTGGGTATATGATTGGTGGATACTATTTGAAGAGTCTCATTTCCCACCAATTGTTCCTTCCTTCCTTCCTTCCTTCCTTCCTTTCTTTTCTTTCTTTCTTTTCTCTCTCTCTCTCTCTCACACACACACACACTCACACGCACTTGCACACGCACACGCATCTCATCAAATCCTAACAGGGCCAGCAAACAAGGGAAGAGTCGGTCTGTCTTTCCCATTATTGGTGGTCTGGATCCGCGGGAGAGTGATGTGGGTTTCCATGGCAATCAACCAGTTCTCAAAGATGTTAAGAAAAGACAGGTTGACTGCCCTAGAATGAATCTGGGTCCTTTCTCTCAGAGAAGAGGACTCTAGTAGCCACCTAGGGCAATGCGGAAGGAGCTTGACATCACTTATAGGAAAAATGTTATTATGATGATAATAACATTACCCGCCATTCCTCAGCCTCCTCTCTGGGGATGGGGGACTGAGAAGAGGAGGAGGTGTCTCTCCTGCTGCTGAGAAGTCTTCAGGAGTTGCCTGTGGTGGAGTAGGATGATGGCATGCTTTAGAGCCAGTCCGCCTTAGGTCTGAATCACAACTATTTACTGGCTGTGTGAACCAGGTAATTTTGTCTAATAGTTATCAGAACAGTGGCTGCTGTGTGCCAGACATTGGGAATTAGGGATCAGCAGGACAATTCATATCTCATCTCCCAGAGGGGGCTTATTGTCTCCAAATCCCTTTTTTAAAATTATTATTTTGTTTTATTTCTTGGAGATTAGTAAGTAAACACGTTTTTTTTCAAAGATCAA